AGACGAGTATCTCGCCAGGTGGGAAATCGCGGTGCTGACCAGCATATTCCTCATCACGATCATCGGTAATGTCTTGGTTCTGTTGGCTCTTTACGCTCGGCGACGTTATCAACGACGAAAGTTCACCAGGATGTACTTTTTTATCATGCACTTAAGCGTGGCCGATTTGTTGACGGGTTTGTTCGATGTTCTGCCGCAGCTCGCCTGGGACATAACGTTCAGGTAATCTGCGCAGTCATTCCAACTAACCTTATGACTTTTTTAATGAGTTTTTATTAACCAGTAAATTTTCATTTTACACCGAAGACGGCAATAGCAACGAAATCGAGAAGTATGAGCGCATTTGTTTGTCTGTAACAACTACGATGTTAATCATGATAGCCTTTTGATATCGTTTTTTTTATTCATCAGTTATTTTATTTAGACCCGATTGCACCAACATTACTTTGACTTTTAGCGAGACTTAAAACGTTTTTTCTCTCTTTTTAAAAACGAGACAAAGAGGAAGAGTTTTAACTTCGCTTAAAATCAAAGTAATGTTGGTATAATTGGGCCTTAGACACATGAAAATAGTATTAATCCTTCACTACAAGCTATGAAAGTTATATCTAAGTTTTAAAGTGCTCTGTTTAAAATATAGAATGTAAGTGACTATTACTTTATAGCGATTGATAGAGGAACTTCAAAGTTCTTTTATTTACAATTTAGAATTTCATCAATCGTACAGATTGCACCAATCTGCAATCATCTAAAATTTTTCACTTCGAGCCCAAATGACTCATTGCTGTCGTTGTTGATGTAGCCCAGAATTAAATATCAGAATGTAATATTTTACTCTCTATCTAAAATAATTATTATCCTATTACTCGAATGTAGATGTTTGAATTACTTGTAATAGTTGCTTAAGAAATTTCACAAAAAATTAATCACAGAATGTAACAGAATTTATCGAAATTATTTATCGAAAATTATATGTGTAACTTTCACATATTTGTTATAAATTTAATATTTTTATAATTTTACGCGATAAAAATATTATATATACTACAAAACTTTAGGAACAAGAAAAATAATCTTAAAATTAAATTACTTTTTAATTTTGATAATAGAATATTAATTGGTTTACACACATTCATACAATAGACAGATTTTTTCGATTTTTAACGGTATTTTTCGCGAAAAATATTTTTCAGAGCTAACAAAAGAAATTGAAGTAGATAAATAATGGGCTAAATAAATAAATAAAAGAATAATAGAAAGATAAATTTAGTATTCATAGCTTTAAATCGTATATATAGAAAAATATATTTTGTGTGTGTGTGTGTGTGTGTGTGTGTGTGTGTGTGTGTGTGTGTGGTGTGGTGTGTGTGTGTGTGTGTAATACTGTATATAATGACGGAAACGAATCAGAATCTTTCTTGAGTTAAGTTTAATCACTGTCGCGATTGACAGCGAATAACCATCTTAAAGTTCTGAAATCAGGACAGACTTTAAGAAAAACAGTATAAGCGGATACACCTTATATTTTCCCCAGCATAATCGTGTATATTGACACTTTGATTGATGTTAGGAAATTATATTTACTCATCAAGATATGATGTATGATAGGATTAATCGAGATTAGAGCTTCTAACATTTGCAAGCAACAGCCTACTATCTGTTATTTTAAGAATACTATCTGTTATTTTAAGTATCAAAAACTTATCGTAAAAAAGTTTTTCACAAAAATAAACTTGTTAAAATTTTGATATAATAATCTTGAGAAATAAATAACAATCTGTATGTATAATACGATAATAAGTGATAATTGATTTTTAAAATACAAATTTCCAAGTACAATTTTAAGAAATATTCTAAAAATTTGAAACTCGCAGAAATCTGTTCTCATCAAGTATGGCGATATAAACGATCCGATTAAACAAAATTGACTGTACGGCGGTCAGATTTCAGGGTGGTGCAGTGCTCTGCAAACTGATCAAGTTCGGACAGCCATTCGGCCTGTATCTCAGTTCCTATATCCTGACGGTGACCGCGATAGACAGATATCATGCCATTTGCCATCCCTTCAGTTACTGTAGTGTCACATCTCGAAGATCGAAAATGATGGTGTACGGGACATGGATGCTCGCTGCTATGCTGTGCGTACCGCAGGTCCGTTGAAAATTTAATTTGCTGTCTCTCTGCTTCCCCGCGAGACGTATCTTACTCGCGCGATTCACTTTGCCACATGCGAAAGGTGGACCAGCTTACTTGAGATATTAATTTTTATCCTATACAGACAGCGAAAATAAATCTAATTGTGCTGATTAATTGTGCTGACGTTAATTTGCACAGAAAGAAATGGTTTTATTAAATCTAAAAAAATTTATCTAAAAAAATTCAACTGAATACAGATCTGCAAATAATTTCATTGGACTAGCAAAATAATTATATAAGAAATTTAAGTATAATAAATAATGTTGCAAAAAGTTTTAACATTCTAATAACCGGTTTGAACAATCTACATAATTATTTTGATATAAAACAAAATTATTTTCAGATTTATATCTAATTGTTGAAATTTTTAAATAACTTTGACAAAACTGTTTTTCTATGTACTAGCATGTTAATTATTTGAGACTTGTCGCTTATAAATGTCAATGTATTTATAAGCGACAAGCATATTTTGTACTTAATAAATTTCTTGATATTTTTGGTAAACGTATCTTTAGCGTAACCATCGGACAATCGTAAACGTCAATGCGTTTCTTATTACAAATTACAAATCTCTTTCATTCAATAATTTTAGATTTTTATATTCTCATACATGGAAATATCGCCCGGCGTTTGGGAGTGTTGGGCCACCTTCTACCTAAAATATGGCGAGAGAGCCTATATTACTTGGTAATATCCATTTATATATATTTTTTCATTAAAAAATATCTTATTTTTATATAACATAACATTTAATAACATTAATAGATTTAAGTGTTGTGAGATGTCTGGATTCAATTATAGGTACAGTGTTATGCAATTCTTATTACCCTTCATAGTGCTCGTATATACCTACACGAGAATATGCATATCGATATGGAGAAGTAGTAAATTATCGGGACTCATTGATCTCAAAAAAAGCAACAAAGTCAGTTTCTGTCAGCGAAATCGAGATCCCCTTATCTCTAAAGCAATGATCAACACTGTAAAACAAATGATTGTTGTGGTTATTTTATACATCGTCACCAATACCCCGTTTATCGGATGCGAGCTATGGGCAACGTGGGATCCTAAAGCTTCCACTTCGCCATTTTTTACCGGTAAATATTCTATCAAAGGATAGTGATAAATAATAGTACATATCGTAATAAGATAAATAAAAAAGTATAAAATAATATTAACTTCACTTTCATTGTTATTGATACATTTCAGTAATTCGAAAATTATTATTCTTTCAGTCACAGTATAATTGGTTACAATTCATAACACTTATAATAAAGTTAATTTGTTATTATGTATGTCGTTTCTTAATTTATATTATTATTATAGATATGTGTTAATAAGCAAAAAAAAGATAGCGGAGTCATCTGTATTTATTTTTCGGATCTAATGTTTCTGTAATATTTCCTTAAGGTATTAAATTATTTATTAATTCTTATCTCATTGTATGCATCATAACTTGCAGGAGCTGCTTTCACTATTCTAAGTCTCCTAAATAGTCTCACGAGTTGCGTTAATCCTTGGATTTACTTTGCATTTAACAAGGAATTACGTGTGGCGTTGACATGCTTTTTCTGCAGAAAGAAAGATTATTCGTTGACTTATGGTAATCATAATCTTTCACTATTCTCTCTCTCTCTCTCTCTCTCTCTCTCTCTCTCTCTCTCTCTCTCTCTCTCTATCTATCTATCTATCTATCTATCTATCTATCTATCTATCTATCTATCTTATCTATCTATCTATCTTTCTCTCATGTATGTATTTGTATTACCGTCAAATATTTGGACAAGAAATATAAACGTTATATTTATATGCCATTTTCTTTCAGATATAGATGCACGTCAGAATGCGTCGGATGTGCCCTCTTCAACATCGTCGTTTATTTCTAGAATCTCGCGACTTGCGAGTTCAAAGATATTCGGGTAAAGTGGAAATAAAACAAAGTTTGCATTTTGAGGAGGACTGTTTTGAATATAAAGAATACACCGAGAAAATATAGTTGATGCATATATACATTTCGCAGACGTGTAAATGTGTTTGGTGCAACAATGTCGGCGCGCGTGCAACTTCTTTCCGCAAGAACTCTTTATTTAATAAAAATTATTTATTAAGAATCTATTAAAAAGTACCTATGAAAGAACTCTTTTACAGAAATATTTTAAGAAATACAGCTAGCGATATAGATTAAATATTCACTGTCACGCGAATTTCGATCGCTTAAAAATATAAAGACAACATTCGACTTCGCGTATCTGTTTTATGACTGACGAAAGCACAATTTCAAATTTCTTTTCCCCTCGTATTCGTAATTCTCGTCGCATCTCCGCCTATGGTGCGTCATCCTTTACGATCTGTTATACTTGCACAGTTCCACCTCATTAGTATTTCCATCGGTCGGGCGTCTATTATGTTCCGATGTTTGTACTCCCATTTTTATCCCGATCATCCCAGAGACTCTCATACTTATGCTAATATTATACACCAGGTATGGATATCTTGACAGCATTCTATTTAATTTCTTTTGGAGGTACAAATAACTTTTTTAAAAAATGTTTTTTATTCTGCAAGCGTCAAACACAGTTGAGAGTGAAATTTCTTCTCAACAAATTAAATTGTTGCTAACCGAGTCACAAATAATTAACATCAATTTTCCAATTCTGATCGTTGATTTAAACTAAACAAATTGTATATATAATATGCGACATAAATAATTTCGTGTAAAAATCTTATATAAACATTATTGCAAAAATTAGCTTAATATATTGTAAAAAAATAATGGTTATTTGATATAATTATTTACAAATTTTTGCGAGCGTTTTCTTATTATTATAATAATAATTTTCTAATTCTCTATTTTATATACATGATACTCAAATACTCTGTTAAAAACACTATACTTGTGATACTTTAGGCAGGGCTCACATGATATTTGATACACTCCTCTCTCTTCTTGATTGCGACAAACTGAGAACCTCTGGCGCGGAACACCTGAATACTTAATAAACGGATAAAATTAACATTAATAACGACTGTCTGTGGCTGATCCACATCTTATCCGAGGACAAACGTGGCCGCTAGACCCACGTGATAAACGCCTTACGATACTTCATCGAGAAGGGCGAACCGTCAGTTTTTCACATCGTTTCTCTTCGATACGTCGATGGGTGATATCAGGGTTAACGAGGACGTGCCGTTTGTGCTAGATCGGGTGTCCGCGATGGAACAAAATTCAGAGGAATATCGCGCCGAGCCGGTGAAGAACGAGGTAGAAGCAATCGAAGTGATGCGACACTACCGCAAAAATGTAACACCATAATATTGCTCGATAATGCAACTGAACCATTATCTTTTTTACTTATTTACTTCGTGCACAAATGTAGGCCGATGTGAAACTTTTGTAACATAAAAGATTCTTTTATATTACAAAATACACTCTATGGTATTTTGGATCCAGAAATTCTTATGTATTTTACATTTTGAGAAACGTGTCTTTAGTCTCGCAAAATAAAATAATAATATACATTACACCGCTCAAAAGTTTTACTACACTTTCTATTTATGAATATTTTGTAAAATATAAATATAGTTTACATGCATTATTGTTTAATTCATTATTACATATTTTACTAAAATTAGAAAAAACTTTTTTTTCAGACTTTTTACTTCTTTAAACTTCTTCTTAGGTTTTATAAGAAACCAAATTTTCTCTTGACATTTTATCGATAGTCTTCAAGTTTCTTAATTAAAGACTTGTGTTTAAGTCTGGCACTTAATTTCTGCGAGAATAAATTGTTTCCATTTTCTTATTGTTAGTTATCATGATATCCAAATATTTATTGATGTTTAGTACAAAATTTGAAATTGATATTTCCTTCAATCAATACAATACATAATATTTGTCTATTTGAGAAATTTACTTATAATTTCTATTTATAATTATTTTTCACAATTCTATTGAATATTTCGTGATAATAATTGATAATAAGAGAGTATATCATATTATAATTGTATCTTTTACAAAAATAGAATGTTTTATGTTGCAAAAACATAAAACGTACTAAAACTATTGAATGTTAGTGTACTTTGAGTCTTATATATTTTATGTTCATTTTTTAATCTGTCCATTATCTTCTAATTTTTCAATTTAAGATACTACTAGGACGATTTGAAACTTATTTTACAACGCTTTATTCACGACAAATATTTTAGTGACGCATTTATTTCCGTATCGCGCTTATTTCGATCAATGGGGAGAGAATTAGCGCGTTAAGAAATCATATTCAACAATTGAAAAATAGCTAGAAAAAAAGCAAATTTATATTCCAGTCTGAAAACGAGAGTAACGACGAAGATTATGCTCATTCGCCGGTGTTATTAGATCTAGATGAAAATTTAAAACAGCAAAAAGCAGCGAATCGGGAAGCAAACTCACCGAGTTGCATAGTGCATCAACAGGATCAAGGATTGACACCAGGTATGCAAAGGAGGTATTTTGAACTTTTATATTAGAATACAAAAAAAAAGCTACTCATTCTTATTACATTAAATCTACAGGGAAAGGATGATTTTGCTGAAAGATCTAAAATTTTGCTAGATACAAATCTGAAAATAATTTTGTTAGACCATGAAAATAATTATATTGGAAATTAAAAATGATGAATAATCCTCCAAAAACTTTGATTTTCTAGCAATAAGTTTCCAACAAATTTGTTTTGATAGTTGAACAAAATTATTTTCAGATCTATAGCATTAGCAAAATTTTAGATCTTTCAGCAAAATCGTTCAAATTCTTTCTATATATAGTTCCCCATTTATTAAATCATTGGAGTAATTGCTCGATTTTATATATAT